TTCTCATATCTCATTTGGTCAGATCCTATTTCTGTCGTGCGTGATCACGAGATCAAACAAAAACTGAGGGAGTGTGGGCATTGTGTGCAAAGCTACAATGCCGAGTTGTTGAATGAACCATGGGAAGTTTATAAAGAAGATGGAAAAGCTTATACGAAGTTCGATGCATATTGGCTCAAGTGTTTGCACCAGACCAAAGAACCCGTGGCACATCATCTTCCTCCTTGGAAATTAGAGCAAGCTCAAGGTACTTTTTTTATAAGGTTTTGCGCTACTCTTCCTATGATCTTGGTAATTTTAGGACAGAACCATAAATTTAAACTGCATCACAAGCTTCTGCCGAGATGTTTATGTGGCTTAAAACACCAAAATATGAAGCTCTATTAGAGTTTAAAATTTCTTTGGTTTCTTTCATTTGTTGTTGTCGTTCTATGTTTTGAGTTAAGGGGTAGGCTTTGTGTACACACACCCTTCTCACATCCCACTTTGTGGGAATTTACAAAGTACGTCACCGTGTCGTGGTTGTTAGCACATAATACCTTTCTTGGTCTTACAACCAATCATTTGTTGAGTGGATTTTTAACATGGTATCAAAACCTTAGTGGGTTGTAGTTTACGAGTTCAAATCTTACTCAGCATGAACTTTTGGTTGAGTTACTCCATTGGCAAACTCTAATTTTATTGTTATGTTTACAGGCTCAATCAAGAAGTTCTCTATTGAAGACTTGGGTCTTGAGAATGAAACCGAAAAGGCTAGCAATGCCTTACTTGGAAGAGGATGGTCACCAGGATGGAGCAATGCCGATAAAGCACTAGCCGATTTCGTAGAGCATCACTTGCTCAATTACTCAGAAAAACGACATAGAGTTGGAGCCAATTCCACTTCACTCTTATCTCCCCATCTCCATTACGGAGAATTGAGCATAAGAATGGTTTTCCATCGCGTGCACATGAAACGTCTTGTCTGGGCAAAAGAAGGGAACTCAAAAGGAGAAGAAAGCGCAGGCCTGTTCCTAAGAGCCATTGGGCTGCGAGAGTATTCGCGCTACATCTGTTTCAACTTTCCATTCACTCATGAAAGGTCATTGCTGAGCAACTTGAAGTATTTCCCTTGGAAGCCCGACCAGACCCGTTTCAAGGCTTGGAGGCAGGGTCAGACCGGGTACCCGTTAGTCGACGCAGGAATGAGAGAGATGTGGGCTACTGGATGGGTTCATAATAAGATAAGAGTCATCGTTGCGAGTTTCTCCGTGAAGTTTCTTCTGCTTCCATGGCAATGGGGGATGAAGTATTTTTGGGACACTCTTCTTGATGCAGACTTGGAAAGTGATGTTCTTGGATGGCAATATATATCTGGCAGCTTACCCGATGGCCATGAGCTTGAGCGCCTTGATTGCCCCGAGGTATATGCCAGATTCATTTCCTCTTGTGTTAACCAAAGACTCGAGCTTTCTGGTCAGAAAAGATTTTGTTCTCTAACAGAATTTAGCGTTTTGTTTTGTTATAGTTGATTCTTTACCCAAAAACATTGTAAAAATTGAATCTTTTTACCTGCTTTTGCTAATTCTGGTTCAGGTTCAGGGTTTCAAATTTGACCCAGATGGTGATTATGTGAGGCAATGGCTGCCTGAGCTAGCAAGGGTACCAACAGAGTGGATCCATCACCCTTGGGATGCACCTCCTGCCGTGCTTAAAGCTGCTGGTCTGGAAATAGGTTTGAACTATCCAAAGCCGATAATCGACGTGGAATTAGCAAGGGAACGGTTATCCGAAGCTATATTCACAATGCAAGCTGCTGCACCAGCAGATAATCCCATTGCAGATGATGAAGTTGTGTTTGAGAACTCGGAATGCAACGGACATTTGGTCACCCCAAACGCGACTTGCCCTAGCAATTCGTCTCGTGACCAGAAGGTCCCGTCCATCCGTAATGGGATTGCGAATAAAAAGAGACCAAAGACTGAAGAAGAGGAAAGACAGGAAACGGACGAGTTCCATCGCCAGAAGAAGAATGAAAAAGGGGAGGTGTCGAAGATGGACGAAGAGCTGTGCTCTACTGCAGAATCTTCTTCAATGAAGAAGCAGAACACGAGCAGTAGTAGCAGACATTCGTTCTCTGTTCCCGAAGGTACTTCGAGCGGGACATCTGTCCATTATCAAGAATCATCAATGTGAATGGTAGAGCACATGCCCCAGGCATCTCTATAGATGGTACAACAGGTGATGCATGAGGTACAGGCGTTCGCCCGGGCTGCCGGGCTCATTCAAGAGCTTCTTCTACACTAGAGGGCAGATGTCACAGGTTATCAGTATGTACAATGTGTGTAAGAAAGAATAAATGTAAATCAAAGAGAGGAAGAAAACAAAATTGTGTTAGGTCTCCATATTGTAAAATGATCTTTGTGTTGTAACACAGAATTTGGTGTAACAATGTACGGAGAAACAAACTGGGTCTGCGGCAGACTGATTGATCCGAAGAAAATAATTTTTTGTTTTTTTTGTTTTTCTGGTGTTCCTCTCAACAAGAGAACCAAATGATATGAAAAACTTTGAACGTTCTTCAAGTTCCTGAAAAGGGAGGCAAAGAAAAGAAAAGAAACCTTTGAGCGTTTTCGGGCTCCGGACAAAAGAGATAAGAAGAGACTAGGGCTTGAAATTCTTGATGGGTTCAATAATAATAATAATACAAATTGATACATTGGTTAGTTTTAAATTGGTAAACTGGCATCTCATGGGTTAGTTATAAGACATATTCATATGCAAATCCATGAAAAAATGTGAAAAAATCCACATTTTAAATGTGAGCGGAAGGACTATAGAAGCATCATTCAAAACTTTATATAGTCAAATACTCCGTATTATATATTCTTCTTCAATCTTCATCACTAAATGTATATCTTGATTTCCTTCTTTAGATGTCCCCAAAAGTAGTTTACATTTTATTTATGGTATGTTTGGTTGAGAAAGAAATATTTTCTAAGAAAATTTTAATTTCATTTTCTTGTGTTTGATGATATTAGTGGAGATTTCTTGTGTTTGATGATATTAGTGGGAGAGAAAATAATTTGCAGGAAAACATTTCCTTCAATAGGGGGGGGGGGGGGGGGGGGGAG